CCACTCTAATAGGAAATACATATTGAACACTTTTGCCCAGCATATTTTTCAAACAGAAATATAGAAATACATTATGTTAATAAATATTCCTATCTTCCTATTTTGTTGTTGGAACTACCAAAATAGATGCCCTACTACACAGGAAATCAGATAAGTGTTTTATAATTACCTTGCAAAAACTCTAGGAACATTGGAAGACTGTACAAAGCATCTTCTGAACTTAATACATCAGAGCAAAACCTATACAGAAGCCTGTCTGCTCCACTTTAAATATTGGTCTGACACTGTCTCTGAAATCATTCGAAGATAAACTGTAATAAAGTCATTGGCTTAAAAGAATGATGGAATGGGAAAAGGTGTTGTTAGTGAATAGACAAAATGTACATTTTTAGATAGAACCAACATTGCAACATAATGCAAAGCATATTTTTAATTAATACAAAGGACATTGTAAGTTTGGGATATCCATTATGTAATGTATGTCCCATGCTTACATTTTCCTCTTATCCTTAGGGATTGTCTACATGGAGAAATCGCCCAGAATAGCTATAGTAGAATTGAAAAGCTTTGGATCTTTGGCCCAACTCAGCCTTCTCTGTATCTAGTTTGTTGTCCACATCTCCCTTTAGCAAACCCTATCATGTATTTTATGGAAGATTCTATATTTTGCAACACACGAATGTGTTTGTAATATAAAAGGTTAAAAATTGTTATTTCTTACATTTTTCAAAACATTTTATCTGCCTGTGTTTCAATTAAGAATCGATTTTAGAATAGGTTATCTACTTCACAGAAATCTGTTTCCTTTTACAGCAGGTACAATTTCATGCAATAAAGTCTCTATATCATAAAAACTAACAAATGACAGCAAACTTTCCCAGACACTGCAATCCAGTTGGTACCTTTGGAAGTTGTGTATACTGACACATTAAGATTAAAAAACATGATTTAATTGTACAGTAAAGGTATCCTGGGTTAAGGCCTAAGAACCATGTTACCAAGACAGTTCAGGTACCTCCAACAGTTGTATGCATAAATATGCATAAATATTTGTAGGCGTGGGTGCTAAATCATTGCAATACATTATCTATGTAACAATTAACACTGAATCCATTTTATGCCATGATCTGAAATCAACACAGTGCTTTATAATCCCACATTTTAAAACTATCATAGATTCTTTCTTTAATGTAAACGGTAATATGACTATTAAGAGATTAGACAATATTTCAGTAATCATTTTTTACTCCCTGGCAAACATTTCATTATTTTGTCCAAAGGGTTCCAATTCCTAGAAAGAAACAGAAAGCAAGAAAAATCTCTCTCCAATGACTGTGTTTTATTCCTTGTTTTCTAAAAACACATTTATCAGAAAGTTACTTTGCTTCAGTTCTCAAAAGAAAAGAAGATACACAGTCTTCTTTCTCATTACAGACAGCAGCATTAACACAATCCAGTCTATGCATGTGGGTGAATTCAATCAGAGGCTGCTAGAAGCCAGCAATCAGTTTAAAAAGAAACAAGGAAAAGGAACAATTGATGTTTGGTGGCTGTTTGATGATGGAGGTAAGAGATTCAAAAGGACACTCCAGGGAGAAAGATTTTTGCATTGCCAAATATAAATGCATAATTGGGAATTTCTGTAAAATGATAACACTTCCATGATGTAGGGTTTTTTCACACGGCTTAAATATTTTAAGATAAATTTGCCTATGTCACTACTAGGGATGTTAAATATCGGTTAACTGAATAGTCGATTAACCTCATGAAATCTTAGTGGTTAGTTGAGTATTCTATAGTCCCCGGGCAGCCTCTGTCCAGGGGGCAGGGGTCTGAGCTCCCGGACCAGGCACAAGTCAGAACTGAGCTGCTTTAAATGCAGAGCTGCAGTGGGGGTAGGTCCAGGACCTAGTGCAAGCCAGGACTGAGCTGAGCTGCAGGCCAGCCTGCTAAATTTACTGGCAAGAAGTGGGGGGGAAATGTGTGAAGTCTTTTGCATTAACCTATAAGCTTTTGCTTTTCGGTTAATCGACTATACTATTACATGCCTAGTCACTACCAAGTAAAGGAGACAGTTTTGTTTTTGCCACCGGTGCTGACTTTCGTTTTGCTGGGAGGTTCTTTGCCCCATGGGCTCACACTAGGTCCAGCTCTTCCTGTCCCTGCTCTGCTTCTTCCCACGTCTCCCACCATCTGCATTAACCTATAAGCTTTTGCTTTTCGGTTAATCGACTATACTATTACATGCCTAGTCACTACCAAGTAAAGGAGACAGTTTTGTTTTTGCCACCGGTGCTGACTTTCGTTTTGCTGGGAGGTTCTTTGCCCCATGGGCTCACACTAGGTCCAGCTCTTCCTGTCCCTGCTCTGCTTCTTCCCACGTCTCCCACCATCACTTCTCCCATCTTTCCCCCCAGTGCCTCCCACCCACAATGAAGTCGCCCCTCCCACCCCTCCCCCGCTGGGTGCTCCAGAGCACTCAGGAAGTTGGCGTCTATGGTTTTTAACACTAATTATACTCATTTGATCTCCTTACGGTTTAATATGTTTATCCAGGTTTAACACTCCTAATTCCCCATATTCTGACTATGAGGAAAAAGTGGAAGGATTGTAAATTAAGGATCTTCACTGGAGGAAAGATCAACCGGATTGAAGATGAAAAATTAGTGTAAATTTACTTATTTTTCCCACTACTGTTTCAAATATTTTGATTGCTTAGGAATACTATTTGCATATAGTTCCCCCTAATATTTCTGAGCAGGTACAATATACTCTATTTTGGACAGCAATAAAAGTATATTTCATATAGAAATGTCTAGATCTTGACAAAGGCTTTATGGGTCATTAATCTTAAATGTAAATGATTGGCACAGGAGGGTCAGACGTCACATATTCTCTTCCTAATAGGTCATGTTCCCTCGCTACAGAATGATACTCCTTAGTTTGCACTGTGAAAATCATTGTATTGTATCTTTGCACTATGAAAATCATTGTATGTAATACAGAGTCATCACCACTTGAAACAAAATTCTTGGTGTATGCCCATTTAATCTGTGAATCCAGAGACGCAACTAACCTCAACATCCTACCCATCTATAAAGCACTAAAGCTTTCCAGAGGAGCCAAAAGAGAAATGATAATGTTTAAAAAAATTATCATCTGAGGAGACTTCAACATCATCACAGACAACATTTTTGATATTATAACACAAACCAAACTCTCCATTTTAGAATTCTCACAATTAATCTCTGCACCCATTTCTACCAGCCAAACATATTCTGGATTAGATGTAGACATAAACTGCAAGAAATACTCCTCTCCAAGCCTGCTTAGATAGCTTCTTCCTCCAGGTGGAAATTAAAACTGCCTTCTTATACAAGAAGAAATCACCACAACGATCTGCCCTAGTGAATTCTTAGCTCCTGACAAATACCAAAAATTAGTTATAGAAAAGAAATCAAGGAATTGGGTAAGTGAAGTACTGTAACCCTTCCCTGACTACTACTGTAGACAAGCCAATTTCAGAACTACAGGCAGTCCCCGGGTTACGTACAAGATAGGGACTGTAGGTTTGTTCTTAAGTTGAATCTGTATGTAAGTCGGAACTGGCGTCCAGATTCAGCAACTGACCGCCAGTTCTGACTTACATACAGAATCAACTTAAGAACCCCAGGCGTCCCCAAGTCAGCTGCTGCTGAAACTGATCAGCAGCTGATTCCAGGAAGCCCGGGGCAGAGCAACTCTGCCTCGGGCTTCCTGTAGTCAGCAGGTTTGTTCTTAAGTTGAATCTGTATGTAAGTCGGAACTGGCGTCCAGATTCAGCAACTGACCGCCAGTTCTGACTTACATACAGAATCAACTTAAGAACCCCAGGCGTCCCCAAGTCAGCTGCTGCTGAAACTGATCAGCAGCTGATTCCAGGAAGCCCGGGGCAGAGCAACTCTGCCTCGGGCTTCCTGTAGTCAGCGCCCCGTTCGTAAGTGCGGATCCGACGTAAGTCGGATCCGCGTAAGTCGGGGACTGCCTGTATATGCAATAACATGTCACTTACTTTTGAGATATTTTCTGCAATCTGGTAGCTAAATATTTATTTAGTTTTAATTTATTTATTCTTCTTTGAAAACCATGTTCTTTCGAAATCAGTTCACCTTATCGATAATTTTAAGTTCTGCTAGTGATTAAATTTGTATCTAGTTAAAGGGATGGGGACCTATGGCCCAGCATGCGGCATGTCTTGATCCGGCCCACGAGGCTTGGGCTCTCTCTTCCCACAACAGAGCAAGCCAGAGCTGGCTTGTCCTGCTATGGAGTCCGGAATCCCAAGCGTAACAGGCTGGATCAATGCAAGTTACAGGCTGCATCGGGCCCACGGGCTCTGCCTAGCAGGGGAGAGGAAGTGGTTCTTCATTCTGATGTCATCCCCTACTCCCTCTGGCTGGGGAAATGGCAGCTCAGAGAAGCTCTGGTCATGTGCTCACATGCGGTTCTACCACAGGGGAATGGTCAGAGGCCATCTGGGGGACCACCAGCCATGCAACTCCTCCCCCAACACAGGGAAGGGTCAGGACCATTCCTCTTCACCTCTGCTCTACTCTTCCCTCTCTTGCGCTGTCCTCTCCCTGCCTCTCCTCGGAGCAGCTTACGAACGGGGCTTTCTCGCCCCGGAGCTCGCAGGTAGCAATCCGCCACCTCGACCTCCGGGACGAGAAAGCCCCGTTCGTAAGTGCAGATCCGACATAAGTCGGATCCATGTAAGTCGGGGACTGCCTGTACATGCAAAACCTATAAGAGTCAGATAACCTTAAAATAGGGCACATAAATAAAAACTATAAAATAATCAAGTTATTTCTCCTAAGGCTGGAAAGGAATATTTTATATATATATATTGTTTTTCTATTTTTAATTTTTTGGGTACTGCACAGATACTTTAGTAATGGGACCACATAAGTGCATAGATTGATAACATTCCAATTCCAAATATTACTTATCAAACCTGTGGGCCAAATTCTCTTCTCCAATCAGTACGGTGGTGTTATGTTTATTCAATGCACACAGGTTCTGATAACTCTGATGATAGAGCTGTGCGCCATTGACTGGAAGAGATAATTCTCCCTGTATTTTTTTGTATGTGACAGATCTTTTTGAATTTAATCTTTTAAAATATTTGATCAAAGTACCAATGTTTTCCCGAAAATACAAAAATATATCCCTCTGGATGCTGCCCTTGCTTTCTGTAACTTTATGCAATTCTACATCACTCAGGGCTATGAAAAATTACATGTAAAAAAATTAAAAGTAAAGTTGACCTAAGTGTAGAGTTGCCGGATGGTTTAACCAAAAATACCGAAAGCTGTTGAGCGAGCAGAAAAAAAAAAAAAAAGATCCCGAGAGTTATTAATTAAAAAAAATCAATCAATACCAGACATAGGGTTGCCAGGTGTCTGGTATTCACCCGGACAGTCTAGTATTTTCGCCTCCTGTCCGGTAAAAAAATTCAGAGAATACCGGACACCTAAAATGTCCAGTATTTTCTGATTTTTTTCCCCGGCCAAGAGGCAAAAATGCCAGGCACCTGGCAACCCTACAAACACTCAGCACCCAGCCTCCCCCCCCGAGCGCCTCCCTGGCTCCCAACACCCCCAGCCCCCCACACCAGCCCCCATGGTTACCTGGTTCCGCAAGGCTGCCAGCACAAAATGGCTGCCGACCAAGGGAAAGCCCCGGGGTCTTAGTGTTCAACCACTCCCCTGTTCCTATCCCTGCACTCACTCTTAAAGGGGACATGGTGTTTTAATGCTGTTTAATTTTATTTATTTATTTTGCTTAATAACTCTCAGGGTCCTTTTTTTGTGTGCTCAACAACTTTGGTCTCCCCCCCGTTTTCCCCCTTCAACGGAATTTTTTCCCAGTGTTATTTTTTTTGAGGGGAGGGGGTCAGTATTTTTGTTTCAACCATCTGCAAACCCTAGTCACACAGGCTGAGTACCATTATTCAAAAAACAAAAACAGGGGTGTTTGGTATTTTTGTTTCAACCATTTGGCAACCCTACCTGGCAACCCTACCTAAGTGCCAGTTCTGCCAACCTACCTACTGCCTCTCAAAGAGGCTGATTTACCATTGTGACAGAAAAACATCACTGTATCATCTACTTCTCAGTGCTTCATCAGCAGAGTAGTGTTTCTAGTATAGCCATACACAATTTTATAAACTGTAAACCAGGGTAAATGCAAGCAGAAACACTAACTGAAGCATCTCAGATAAATTCACTTGTCATATAATTAAGTTAAAATACTAGATGATTACTTTTCATGATTTAACTCATTTATGAGCATTCTTTGATCTGAGGTGCTTAAAAATGCAGTGATAAAGTGTTCTCCCCTTTGTTTTCAGGATGACTTCACTTCTAAGCAAATTCAGAATAAAATATGCTGACATTAAGATCATTGGCAACATCAATATGAAACCCAACAAAGAGAGGTAAGAAACATTTCCAAAAACCCATTATTTGACTGCAGTTTCTAAATCTGGGAGTTGTTTCTTTTATACTGATTATAAAAATATCAAAGGATGAAAGCAAGAGCACTAAAAAAAGGCTTTTAAAAATCACAGTACAAAGGTTTGCACTACAAACGGCCTTCCACTTTATGTTGCAATCATAAGCCTTTATTTTAATACAAAGACTAATTAGAGACCCACAGTTATGAGCCACTGAATTTAATAGACATCATTTTATAATTACTTTTCATATCTGTTTTTGTTTCCATGGCCTTGACTTCATCATGCTATTCATCAGATTGCGGCTCTTTTGTAGACTCATCTTCCCTTCTGATTGAGACTTTCAAAGTCCTCTTACATTGCCCAGGCATTCTGTAGTTTACCATCTTTCAGGCCAAACACACACACAGCTCCTTCCCTAGAGAAGGATGGTTCAGCTCTCTCTTATCATTCAAATATAATGAAGGCAAAACATTTTTTTTAAAGCTAGGCAAATTTATTCTCTAGATAAGTCAAGCAAGGAATGAAGAATAATATTCAAGAAAATCCATCTCTGAGTGACTCTTGAGAGCACAGCCAGAATTAAACATTTTGCTGTCCAAGGCTAACTAGAAACTACTGTCCCTCACAGCCACTTCATATTTTCTACCTTACATTTTGCTGCGTTTGATGATTACCCCTGTGTTGCTCACCCCTGTATTTCAGAACCTGTTGTAGATAATGACAATTCAGCAGGTAAATGTGCCTCCTCCCTTCTAAAACAAACCACCATCTCTGGATTTCTGTTGAACTTTCCCCAAACTGAGTAAACTTTAAAGAAAGACTTACAGGGTTAAGTCCCAACTCTCCCATTGTAAATCTTTCCAAAATGAAGTATCTCCTCATCAGTGCTCAGAGAAGGATATACCTCCACTCCATCAGAATTCAGTTCAAAATCTCTACTTTGTTCTTCAAGGTCCTCTATGAAATGCCAGTTTACTTGCACCTCCTTCTACTCTCCAGCCTATTTACCATGCTTCTCTGATACCATACTTTCTTTCTGTTCCACAACCATCATCTCTGGGACTTCATGTATAACCTTGGGCAAGTCACTTAACCTCACTGAGTCTCCATTTTTCTGTCTGTGTAAAATGGTTATAACAATACTTATTTGTTTCATTAGTGCTTGTACAATGATTGGTTGGCAGACATCACAGAAACGAAGAGTGTTATACTATTGTGAACATATAAAGTGTTTTCTATCTGACATCTTAATTTCAGAAAAATCAGCAAAGCCATTTAAATTATTCATCCCCTTTCTTATTCCACAGTATATATTTTCTTCTTAATTTTACCCAGAATTGTGAAGAGCATTATTCTTTTCTTCTTTCTTGTGTTAACTGAATAATGATCTTCCAAAACAATATTTGCAAAGGAATCAAACAAAAATACATTTGGCATTCACAAAAGCAAACTCATTTGCAAATTCAGCATTATGTATAACATATAATAAATGTATATCATGACTGGACACTTGCAATAGTGCCATATTTCTCCCTAAACCCATGTGCAAATCCCCTAGATTTTATTAAGAGATGTGCACTTGAATTAAAGGCAGATTAAGCTCTGAAGTTGCTGCTGAAAATTATAAAATTATATATATAGATTGGCCTCTGAGTACAGTAATATCAAAATGCTTTTCAGTTGTTTATGAATTTATTTTAACGACACCCTTGCAAGGTAGAAGGTGTTAATAACCATATTTTACATATGGGAACTGATACACAGAGAAATTTAGAGGCATGTTCAAAATCACACAGGAAATCTGTAGCAGAACTGGGAATTTAACCCAGATCCCTGAGGCCAGAGCATTAGCCATAGAACTTCTTTCCATCTGCCATTAAGATAAGTTTACACAGACTAGCTATTAATTTTATTAAAGCTATATACTGATTATTCAGGTGACTTCCAACACTACAAAACTCTGAAAAATGTTTAAGTGTATTCAGTGTTGGGATAACATCCCACATTCTTTATTCAATTTAAATTCTTGTCTACATTAGAACTTACTTCAGTATAACTTATGCCATTCAGAGCTATGAATAATCCACATCCAAGTGGTGGAAGTTATATTGACTGGTGTAGATACCGCTATGGCCTGTTCTTACACTAGGACTTCATATCGACTTTAGTACATATGGTCAATTTTATAAGTGATGCATCACCAAGCCTCTCACGTTGACCTTAGGGCTGTGGAAGTCGATTTCTGTACTCATCCTTTTCATGAGGAGTAATGCTATTCCCAATCTTGTATGGTTGAATTTATACTAGTGTAAATGCAGCATTGCTTGAAAGTCGAGTCTATTGTCCTCTGGGAGGCCTTCCACAGCTCCCCGTTCTGACCAGACAGGGGCTGCTTTGCCGCTGCAGCTGATAGAGGCAATGTGGGGGGAGGGGCAAAGGGCACCAAAGAGATGGTGTTGGGGGGAACAGGCTTTTAAGCCGGCTCCTGCTTCACCATCCCCTTTGCTGCCTCTGATACAGAGACAGGAATGGGGAATGTGAGTAGTTGACTAATTGACTACTCTTTTACATCCCTAACCAATACTTTCCAGTTTAGTGAAAACGTTTCATCATCTTAAACAGGCTATGCTACAAGGATACCAATGGTTGCTGCAAATTTGCTGTACACATACGGTACGTCTAAACTACATGGCTCCGTCGACGGAGCCATGTAGATTTGTTGTTTTGGCAAAGGCAAATGAAGCCGCGATCATTTAAATCGCGGCTTCATTTGCCTTTGCCAAAACAACAAATCTACATGGCTCCGTCGACGGAGCCATGTAGATTTGTTGTTTTGGCAAAGGCAAATGAAGGCGCGATTTAAATGATCGCGGCTTCATTTAAATTTACATGGCTGCCGCGCTGAGCCGACAAACAGCTGATCAGCTGTTTGTCGGCTCAGCGCGGCAGCCATGTAAATTTAAATGAAGCCGCGATCATTTAAATCGCGGCTTCATTTGCCTTTGCCAAAACAACAAATCTACATGCTTCTGACAACAGAGGCATGTAGTCTAGACACAGCCATATGGGGACAAAAGTACCTTTTAGTTTTACCGATATAAACTCATTTTAAAGTGGTGGCACAGATGTATTTGAGGGTATAATTTGGCTCCAAATGTTTAAAGATGTTGCATGTCATTCAGCTATAATTCTGAAGTCTGTAGGGACCTGCCTTACTTAAATTATCTGTGAAATAATGAGTTAGTACCCTGCTGTGAGGCCTTTTTTTATAATTCCTGTTTCAGCTGGAAATTCTTTGAAGAGATGATTGAACCATATCGCCTCCATGAAAGCTGCAAAGATTTAACAACTGCTGAGAAATTAAAAAAAGAGACTCCATGGAAAATTACAGATGCAGAGCTGGAAGCATTCAAGGAGAAGGTAAATCTTTGCCTACCTTTATTTTATGTTGCTGGCTAGCTAGTGAACAAATCTGAAATATCAGCTTAAGAATTTGATATACATGTTAACAATGTATCAGCATTTGATTTTTTAAGAATTGGGTCTGTATTGTAAATATTATATAAAAATGATTTTTCCTTTGAACTCTGAAGGCAGCCTATCTAGAATAGTCAGTGTGGCTTTAGACATTTAACTCTGCAGGTATACGCTCATTCATGGAAAGCCAAAAGCAGGATTGCTACATGAAGCAACGGAATGGTGGGTTTTAGCTATGAGGGCAAGCCAAAGAGAGGAGGCCTGTACATTTAGGAGATGAAAGAACTTATTGAAGTATTTAGAGAAGGCTCTACAACACTGGGGGAAGAGTCTTAGACTCGTTGTTGGATTCTTTGGCTCCGTCTAGACTGGCTGCGTTTAGACTGGAAAAACTTGCCAGCAGTCTACATTGGCTGCTTGAATTTCCGCAAGAACACTGACGATCTCATGTAAGATTGTCAGTGTTCTTGCGGAAATGCTATACTGCTCCCGTTCGGGCAAAAGCCCTCTTGCGCAAAAGCTTTTGCGCAAGAGGGCCAGTGTAGACAACGCGGTATTGTTTTATGCAAAACCGCGTCTAGATTGGCACGGATGCTTTTCCGCAAAAAGTGCTTTTGCGGAACAGCGTCTGTGCCAATCTAGATGCTCTTTTCCGCAAATGCTTTTAACGGAAAAACTTTTCCGTTAAAAGCATTTGCGGAAAATCATGCCAGTCTAGACGTAGCCTTTGTTATTAACATCGGACTCAAATTGGATAAAAACCTATATGAATCAATGAGCAACATGAAACTGCAGGACCACTCAAAGAAATAAGAACAGCAAAAACAAACTTTAGGTTTACTGCATGGGGAAGTTTTTTTCCCTCACCCTTCTAGGTTAATCAAAAGTTGGAATTCTCTGACCAAGAGGAGAACCCGGATGAAAATTCAAGAGGAAAAAATTAAATAGTTATTTGGATACCATTGGCACGTGAAGGTATCATACATGGGATAAATGCTTAACTAAATTATGGTATTCCTACACATTAAACACAGGATTAAATTAAGGGCAAGATTTCAAATTGAGATGGAATATTCCTTAAGAGGAGATTGATATGAACTATACCTTACTTATGTTTTCTTTCTCTAGAGTATTGGACAGGTGAATTAGGATGAGGAGGATAGATCAATTGCTTGTAGGTGAAATTCACACTTGTACGGATGTCCCAACTTAAAACCATTAGGCATTACTTTTCCCTGTCCTTTTCTTCTCTCTTAAGTGTGTTGTGTTTTGGAAGTTTTTGGAAACTCAGTCTGACTTTGATGTAATCCAAGTTAAACTTCAATATAGCATTCATGTGTGCAAATTTATAAAGTCCATAAAATTGCATTATACAATTATAATATTTTATTTCCTATTTATTATTATCAGTCTTGTAGAAAATTTTACTAAAATGAATAACCTCTGCTACATTGCAAGTGGCTTATTTATTTACATAAGTATTTGATACCGATTGAGATGGCACTTTGGCACCTGGCAAATTAATTGTAGCAACCTATTAAACTGCCAACTACAGACAGCAGAAAACAGACTATTTTTGTTTCCTCAAACAGCCATAATAAGTAGTCTACTACCATAGTCAACAGTCAAAGAAATATATGACAGCCATAATCCATAGACCCATATTTGACCAAAAAAAGCTGGCTCTTTCAAGCTCCGTATGTCATCACTGTGACATATCAGGGAACAATCCAGACTAAAAAGCAGATCGTATCACCCTGCTCTGCAAATCTGCATGCCTTACATTGCCTTGCTTAAGGAGTTCCCTCTTGGGCTGCTTACAAGCCGCCTTACAGCATGTAAGCCACACCCTGAGGCTATGTCTACACTGCAGTCTTCTTACACAAGAACTTTTTGCGGAAGAGATCTTCCACAAAAAGTTCTTGCGCAAGAGCGTGTCCACACTGCCACGTGTTTTTGCGCAAGAGCTGTGCTTTTGCACAAGAGCACCCATTTCAGTGTGGATGCTCTCTTGCGCAAGAAAGCTCTGATGGCCATTTTAGTCATAGGAGTTTCCTGCACAAGAAACCTCTGTTGCCTGTCCACACATGCCTTTTTGCTCAAGAGCTCTTGCGCAAAAAGGCATATTCCTTATTTTTTGAGGAAGACCAGCTCTTGCACAAGAGGGGGTTTTTGCACAAAAAGGAGCTGTCTACCTAGCTCGTTTTTGTGCAAAAGCCTCTTGTGCAAAAATGGCTGCTCATTACTTATGCAAATGAAGCGCAGCAATATTCCACGCCACACTTCATTTGCATATGCTTTTCCGCAAGAAGGCTACAGTACAAGGCCATGACTCTCACCAGCCTTGATTATATTGCAGGGTAGTGCTAACACACCCTGAGGCTTAGGATTTCCCCCAAGAAATGTATGGCCTGTATTGCCCAGCCAGCTCCTAGAGAACACCAGTTATTTTAAGTATTTTATTTCTTTAATAGAAATAATATACACACAATTTGCCATTCCAACAGAGTTCTCAGACACTTCAATTTAAACACAATGAATTAGATAAAACAGTAAAACAAGTCTATTAACTACAAAAAGATACATTTTAAGTGAATGTAAGTAATGAGGCACAAAATTAAGAAGTGATTGCAAGAAAAATAAAGATAAAACATTATTGGTGCTTAACTTAAACTGTGTTAAATTCAAAGCAAAATTTTCTGACAACTTGCTTTCAGCAGTTGTACTGACCAAACATCTTACGTCAGAAGCCCTTATTCCAGAGTCCAACAAACGCTTCCTCTGCTGTTTCAGGTGTAGTGAATGTGATGGGCGGTGAGAGAGAGGCCCCTCCTTTTTATAGTTTCAGTCCCTCTCTTGAAAAACATTTCCAGTTGGGTAACAGGAGACAAAACATCTATGTAGAAGGATGTTCCCTGCTTTTTCAACCCCTTTTTAGTTTCCTTTGTTTCCCTTCCTAATTGATAGCTGTTTAGTGCTTAAATGCAAATGAAGCAGAGCACACGTTCCTTTGTCAACCTCAGTTTGAAACATGTGTTAATAACACCGTACAGTGTAATCTTATAAGTTCACATGCAATGCTGCAACAAATATTTTATCAGGATGATACTAATCAGCAAATTATGAGTTTTTAAATGATACCATAAAAGGAATACTTTGTACAAAGATTATTACAGTAGTGTGTAGAGTGTGAATAAAGGAATACATTATATCACAAGCACACAGAATAATTTCCATACCCAGGAAACTGCATTGTCTAATGGAATCTAATGTTTTTTTTCCCCAGAGTTACCGTCAGGTCCGTTTGAATGAACTCTTACAGGAACACTCAAGAGCTGCTAATCTCATTGTCCTGTAAGTTGCACAATTTTAACTCAAAAAATGAATAAATTAACCTGTATATAGGGATTTTTGGAAATGACTAACAGAAGGATGTGCATTAATTCACGGAAAGTGAAAATTACTAAGATTATTTTGAGGGTTTTTGCAGGACTTGACGGAATAGAAGCCTAATGCTGGTTCTCTGAACAAAGCTGAAGCTCACCCTTAGTTAACAGTTCTTAGTAGCTTAAAATGAAATTCTACTCTGAAAGGCCATGTCTACACTACAGATAAGATTGAAGTAGACACAATCGATCTTCTGAGATTTTCATTAGTGGGTGTAGTGAAGACACATTAATTCGAACCGAGAAGGTGCTCCTGTTGATGCCAGTAGCTCTGCTTCTACGAGAAATAAAGAAAGTCAAAGGGAAGGTGTGCTCCCTTCCATTTCCCACAGCGTGGATGGCACCAAAATTCAAGTTAAGATACTTCAAATTAAGTGACGTAATTAACGTAGGTAAAGTTGTGTATCTTAATTCGAACTAATCGCCTAGTGTAGACCAGAGAAAAAAAGAACTGTATGAAAATGGCACTTTCCTGCCCAATTACTCACTGCATACTCAGAATTGTATCTGCTTACTGTAGTGCAAAAATATATTTTTAGTTCTTACAGTTAACATTATGAAGTCAACTGATACAAGAAAGAGAGAGTGAATCCCTACAGTTTATGAGAGAATGGTTAGCTAGGTTTAAGCTGCAGCAGGACTGATCTGTTTTGCCCAGGGAAAACCCAGCAAGGACAACTGAATTGCACAAGTTTTAATCAGGATATAAATTTGGATCGAATGATTTTTAGGTGAGGATCTAAGAATCAGAAGGATGTACTTTTATGGTTCAGGTTGACAATTATACAGTAATGGCAATTAGAAAAATTGCTTACTTTTGAATTTGTCAAATAGAATAATCAACAAATATGGATCCATGAAGCTATTTTTAGGAGAGCCACACTTCAAAGCAAAACCACAGTTTAAGTGCTTGAATAAACTTCAGTCACCGTTTTGTTTTAAATCTCTCTGGCTCTGCTACTAACACAATCTTCTGGAGGCAGAGACTGCATTTGCAGAATATATGGAAAACTGTTCTATAATGTACAAACTAGATTTCATAGGTAAACTATGATAAAAAAAATGTAGGCAGACCTTGGTTGATACAGCGCTGATGGAATGTATCATTTACAAGTTTTATATTTTCTTTCCTCTAATTCTTAGCAAACATATAACTAATCTGTGAGGGTATGTCTACACTACCCCGCTAGTTCGAACTAGCGGGGTAGTGTAGACATACCCTCACAGATTAGTTATATGTTTGCTAAGAATTAGAGGAAAGAAAATATAAAACTTGTAAATGATACATTCCATCAGCGCTGTATCAACCAAGGTCTGCCTACATTTTTTTTATCATAGTTTACCTATGAAATCTAGTTTGTACATTATAGAACAGTTTTCCATATATTCTGCAAATGCAGTCTCTGCCTCCAGAAGATTGTGTTAGTAGCAGAGCCAGAGAGATTTAAAACAAAACGGTGACTGAAGTTTATTCAAGCACTTAAACTGTGGTTTTGCTTTGAAGTGTGGCTCTCCTAAAAATAGCTTCATGGATCCATATTTGTTGATTATTCTATTTGACAAATTCAAAAGTAAGCAATTTTTCTAATTGCCATTACTGTATAATTGTCAACCTGAACCATAAAAGTACATCCTTCTGATTCTTAGATCCTCACCTAAAAATCATTCGATCCAAATTTATATCCTGATTAAAACTTGTGCAATTCAGTTGTCCTTGCTGGGTTTTCCCTGGGCAAAACAGATCAGTCCTGCTGCAGCTTAAACCTAGCTAACCATTCTCTCATAAACTGTAGGGATTCACTCTCTCTTTCTTGTATCAGTTGACTTCATAATGTTAACTGTAAGAACTAAAAATATATTTTTGCACTACAGTAAGCAGATACAATTCTGAGTATGCAGTGAGTAATTGGGCAGGAAAGTGCCATTTTCATACAGTTCTTTTTTTCTCTGGTCTACACTAGGCGATTAGTTCGAATTAAGATACACAACTTTACCTACGTTAATTACGTCACTTAATTTGAAGTATCTTAACTTGAATTTTGGTGCCATCCACGCTGTGGGAAATGGAAGGGAGCACACCTTCCCTTTGACTTTCTTTATTTCTCGTAGAAGCAGAGCTACTGGCATCAACAGGAGCACCTTCTCGGTTCGAATTAATGTGTCTTCACTACACCCACTAATGAAAATCTCAGAAGATCGATTGTGTCTACTTCAATCTTATCTGTAGTGTAGACATGGCCTTTCAGAGTAGAATTTCATTTTAAGCTACTAAGAACTGTTAACTAAGGGTGAGCTTCAGCTTTGTTCAGAGAACCAGCATTAGGCTTCTATTCCGTCAAGTCCTGCAAAAACCCTCAAAATAATCTTAGTAATTTTCACTTTCCGTGAATTAATGCACATCCTTCTGTTAGTCATTTCCAAAAATCCCTATATACAGGTTAATTTATTCATTTTTTGAGTTAAAATTGTGCAACTTACAGGACAATGAGATTAGCAGCTCTTGAGTGTTCCTGTAAGAGTTCATTCAAACGGACCTGACGGTAACTAGCCTAATCCGATCTAGCTACTCCGTGCCGTATGTAGCCGCGCGGCACGGGGTTCGAACTAGCCGGGATTTAAGAATGGCGGCACCCGGCTTATGCAAATGAAGCCGAGGAAATTCAAATCCCGGGCTTCATTTGCAAGTGCGGTATGCCTACATTACCCCGCTAGTTCGAATTAGCGGGGTAGTGAAGACATACCCTGATTTCTGTGACTCCAGTCCTGCAAACACTTAACTTTATATGCTTAACTTTACAAACATGAATAGCCTCATTGCTCGCATTGGGATTACTCACATTAGTAAAACGAAACATATATGTATTTCAGGATTAGGGCCCAAAAGAAACCCCATATTATAAGATTCACATTTTGAATGCTTATGCTTAGGCTGTAGATTGGTTATAGTATGCTACTCAAGATAGAACTTACTGAAAAGCATATTATCTGGGGTACTCTATACTTATAACATTAATATCATTCCTTTTTTTACTTCAACAGGAGCTTGCCTGTGGCAAGGAAAGGAGTAGTATCTGATCACCTGTATATGGCTTGGTTAGAAATTCTCTCCAAGAACCTGCCTCCAGTCTTATTGGTCAGGGGCAACCACAAAAATGTACTAACTTTTTACTCTTAGTAAAATATAAATACCTAGAATATAATGTTTGATTTCAACACAGGTATTTTTAAAGACACACCATACTAAAAGTTGAGTACTTAAGACCTAGAATTTGACTTACTGATGGAGAGTGTCCTCCAAATTATAAATATCCTATTTTTAAAAAAACCACGATGTACCACATATCTGTCACCAAAAAATTTAAAAGCTACAATTATAGAATCTAAAATGCTTTAGGTTTCACTGCTGTAGAGCTTATTAATAGCCTTTAGGGGGCAAAAAATATTAAAACAAACACTATTTTCAGAACTGTGCTGATATCACTGCCTATAGTAGGGGTGAGAAACCTTTTTTGGGTCGAGGGCCACTGACCCACAGAAAAATGAATCAGGGGCTACATGCAAGTGAGAAGCAGCAAAAAAACAAAAACTAAATCATACTCACTGACATGGCCCCCAACTGAGAAAGAGAAAGACACTACCCACATTCCCCTTACACACTAGAGCCTAGCAGGGACACAGATTAGTAGATTTTGTGTACTCCAGCCCCATGGTGCAGCAGCAAGGGGTCTAGAGTACCAGCGCGAGCTCCCCAATGCTAGGGTTCCCTGAGCCTCAGGGGGGCCAGTTCTAGGCAAGACAGGGGCCACATACGGCCCCCAGGCCTGAAATTCCCCACCCCAGCCTATAGCTAGGCTTGCTAGATGATTTCACCAAAAATCCCGAACGTGGCAAAAAAATCCAAAACGGCAGACCAAACTTAGTTGAGCAAAAGAAAAAAAGGGGTGTGTGTGTGTGCTGCGTCTTTAAGAATCTCCTCACTCCCCCACACCAGATGCAGCAGGGGAAGATTGTCCCTGCCAATCTTCTGTACAAAAGAAACAGAAAATGCCGGACATTTTACATGTCTGGTATTTTCTGTTTTTTTTTTTTACTGGACGGGGCCAGAAAAAATGGTCTGTCCAGGCAAAAACCGGACACTGGAAATCCTACCTATAGCAATGCACAAAAATGACAATAAAGTAGACCCATATTGACAATATCTCTAAAGTTTCACTGCATTTGACTAAAAATTATAATTTAATTTGGTATACACACACACACACACACACACACACACACACGTATCTCTTAAAATACTATTTAAGCTATGTTCCAAATTATATCATTTCTCAAATTACAGACTATATAAAAATGTATTATGGCTAAACACACGTCTCTTTGAAAGTATACATCTCTTTAAGATTCCTACCAGTTACTCATAAGGCATTATTTACAAGCAGTTTCTGAATAACTAGCTGACAAACAGAAAAGTTAGTTTTATGGAAAATTAGTTTCTAAATGATAATAGCTGATCATGAATTTTCAGACTACTGTATGGAACCAAATTAAATGTATAATTGAAATAATCACATATGATTATGAAACAGATTTCAAAGTTAATAAAATACTAAAGTAACATTCTGTTAAGATTTGTTATGGACATTGTGGTTTCCCCAAATGTATAATCTCACATGATTTAGAGAATCTTATTTTATACTGATTTGGTAAATTGCAAAACAAATTATAATAAAATAAACTTAACATTTACTCTTTAGTTGAACGTGTTAATTTTTCTGGCAAAAGAGATTATTCCTTTAAATGCTGGGCGTTCTAAAGAACATTTGTTAAACATTTTAACTTGAAATAAATAATTGAAGTCCACGAAACTATCTGTGTGCAATGTTTTTTCTGTAATATATTCAGGAATATTTCAATAGTAGATTACCTCCTGCATTATCCTTAAAATAGGCTATTTTATTTCTATTAGAGAGAGAACATATGTATAATTAATATTTTTAAATGAAAGGCTTGTCATGAAAACACTGAAAGACAGGAAAAAACAGTGGTGTTCTGCAGGGATCTGCTTTGGGACGACTATTAAGCTTTTCATAAATGTTCTTGAAAAGGGGGTAAACAGTGAAACAAAATTTGCAGATGATACAAAATTACTCAAAATAGCTAAATCCAAAGATGAATGCAAAGAGTTACAAAGGGATCTCATAAAATTCAGTCAACAAGGGCAGATGGAATTCAGTGTTGATAAGTGCAAAATAATGCACATAGAAAAATATAATACCAACTATACATACAAGAATAATGGGGTCTAAAACAGCTGTTATCATTCAAGAAAGAAATATTGGAATCATTGTGGACAGTTCCCTGAAAACATCTGTTCAATGTGCAGTGGTACTCTAAAAGCTAACAAAATATTGGGAATCATTAGGAAAGGAATAGATAATAAGTTAGAAAATTAGGGATATAAAATCCCATTTAATTGGCTGGAGTGGACCCCCACCCACCTAGGCTGGATGGCGTGGCCTCTGCCTATGATGTACCTGGGCTCACTGTGGATAGGGGTTGCTTCAGGTGGTCAGAGCATCCCCTACCTGTGACAAACCAGGGTCTTCAGTGGGTGGGGAGCTGCTCCAGCTCCTACCAGTTAACCAGAATCAGTAAGCATCACCCATTAAAGATGATGTTTACCGATTAACCTTTCACATCCTTACAGAAAATATCATATTACCTCTGTATGAAGTCATGGTATGTCCACATCTTGAAATACTGAATGCAGATCTGATTACCCCATCTAAAAAAAGTATATTGTTCAGTTCTGGGCACCACATTTCAAGAAAGATGTGGAGAAATTGGAGAAGGTCCAGAGAAGAGCAACAAGAATGAGAAGATGACCTATGAAGGAAGACTGAAAGAATTGGGCTTGTTTAGTTCGGAAAAGAGAAGACTGAGAGGGGACATGATAGCAGTTTTCAGGAATCTAAAAAGGTGTCACAAGGAGAAGGGAGAAAAATTGTTCTTCTTAGTCTCTGAGGATAGGACAAGAAGCAATGGGCTTAAACTGCAGCAAGGGAGGTTTAGGTTGGACATTGGGAAAAACTTCCTAATTGTCAGGGTGGTGAAACACTGGAATAAGTTGCCTAGGGAGGTTGTGGAATCTCCATCTCTGAAGATATTTAAGAGCAGGTTAAATAGACATCTGTCAGGGATGGTCTAGATCAGGGGTGTCCAAACTTTTTTCAAAGAGGGCCAGATTTGATGAAGTGAACATGCATGAGGGCCGACCATTTTGCCTGACATTCTTTGAACCATTAAAATTAAATGCAAATTAACTATTTTATGCAAAGTTTATTGCAAACAGCATACTTTTCATTTCGTCACATGGATGACAAATCTAAACAGGTGTTTAATCACTCTGCCTTTCATATCTGAAGGCCAGATGAAAAAAAAATCCAAGAAGCTGAAATATATGTCAGGAACATTGTAAAGTACATTACATATTATTGGTAATAAAGGTTGTCTGTCAACTTTTAAGTTAAAAAAATATGAACAGGAACATAACACCAAGTATACATGTTGTGTCCAAATATATTTATAACTGATTTAGACCAACTGACATTAACTGAGATTTTACAATGTATTCATCTCAATACATATGGATTCGTTGGGGGCCATAAAAGATAGATATTGCCAAACTACCTGTGGGGCCGTATTAAACCGGAACACGGGCCGCAATTGGCCCGCGGGCCGCAATTTGGACATGCCTGGTCTAGATGGTACTGGGTCCTGCCTCTCGAGGTCCCTTCCCATTCTAGTGTTCTATGATTCTATGGAAATGCCTAAATTACAATAGGGTTTCAATAAGGACAAAGTAATTTTAGAGGGTGGGTCCATCAATGGCTACTAGCCTGGATGGGAAGGAATGGTGTTGCCTTTTAATTTCCTATTTTTAACCAGAAAGGGAAATGTTTATTGATAGGACTTATTTAGGCATTTGTAATTCTCACCTGGGTTTTCCAGCTGACATGTTACTATGTGATTAAATAATAATCAAAGACCTAGCTTTTATATAACGCTTTTCATCTTTAGCTCTCAAAGAACTTTAAAGTAAAGCATAGCGCGGTACCTAAGGTTACCCAATGGGCCAGTGGCAGAGCTAGTTCCAATCCAGTGGTCTTTGCACTTGGCCACATGGTTGCTATATGATTCTGATGTTCTCCTGCCCTGCTCTGTACATTTTGTTACAGTGGACTGGGGACAATGTTGTACTTTGAAATGTTTGCAGTATATATTTGCTAACAGAGCTAGTGAGAGATATTTCATCTGTGGTCTATGTCCCAGTTTCATAATATGTTGGTTACAGTAATTTTATGTACAGTAATTCCTCATTTAACACTATAGATGCGTTTCTGAAAATGTTCGTGCTAAGCAAAAACATGCTATGTAGGGTCAATTTTCCCATTAAAAATAATGGAAAAGGTGGTGGGGGCAAAGTCAATTTTTTCTTGGTGCTCGGTCATCAATGTCAACATTAGATATCTAGCAACATAAGATACCTAGCAACATAAGTCGCTGCAGTTTGTTAAAACACAAAGATAAACACGTAAGTGAACAGAGGAGCACTGTGACTACGTGCATTCATCCGCTCCTGTATATTACTACTGTTTTCACCAACTTATACTGCCGCAAGGCTCCAGGGACAAGGGTCTCAGAGAGGCCAATACACACCTGAGGAATGTGTCTGGGATCTGCAAACCAGCCAATATCATGACTGCTGACTTGGGATACAGGGATAGGTCACTGGGCCATGTGACCTGCTCCAGCTTGGAAGATATCAGGGATGGATATAAAAAGCTATGAGGCAGACTCCATCTTGCCTTCAATTCTGCTACTTATTCCAGATGCGAGGAACAGTGAGCTGGGAAGAATCGTGGGCCCATCCTGACATAGGATGTACACCAGAGACTTTTAAGATTTTTTTTTAAGTTTATAACATCTCTGCTAAGATGAACTTGGTGATTCCATGTATGTAGATGTAAGCCAGGGGCCTGAGGGACTGCTTGAAATGTGGCCAGCTGAAGTTGTTCAGCCCTGCAAGACAATTAACTGTTGATATGTAAATACAGCTCATACTGAGATGGGGAAGGAATCCGGGGTGTGGTTATGTAGATACAATTCAGCCAAGGCTGATGGAGGATCAGTTGTTAGAATGGAATGTGATGTATGTAATGAATTTGGGCTGTTGTGGGGTCACAAACCATGCTACCCCTAAATGTGGGAACTGTAAAATATGATACCAGTGTTTGCAAGAGAGACACCATTGTAAGGGGTCTCAGATGAACAAGCCTCCCCCTTCCAGAGTTGAGTGAACTGAGTTGGGGGAAAAGGGCTTGAGCCAGCCTGCTTCATGCCTGCCATTGTGAGCTGTAAGACTGGCTCAACCTGTTTCTCTTCTCTACCCCTATTCTAAGGATAGATCTAAAGCAGACTCCATCAGGAGTCTTTTTGCTATTCCAGTGGAAGCTGGAATCTTTTGCCAGCCTAGGTGGTGGCTAAGGAGTTGAAATCACTAAGAACTGAAGTCATTGGTTTGGCCTAGAGCCAGACCCACAGCAACCAACAAGACTGCTGGAGGGAGCGACTGGCGGGTGGCTGGTAGGAGCAGTGGCAGGCAGGCAGCCAGCGGAGTGGCTGGTGGGAACGACCACCAGGTAGCCGGTACAAGCAGCAACAGGCGGCTAGCGGAGCAGCTGGTGGGAGTGATCATCGGGCAGCCTGTGGAGCAGATGGTGGGAGCGACTGGCAGGCGGACAGTAGGGGGCTGGCAGGAACAACCAGCCAGAAGGAGCAGCACACAAGTGGCATCACATCAGGCTCTATGAGGGGAAGTCATCAGGGTGATGTGTCTGGGTCCGCACTGACTGGACAGAACTATAAGTGGGGCATTTGAAGTGGGGTACGGAGAAAGTTTGGGTATGTAAATGGGACCCTTACATTGTAGGATTGGTGAGCTTGAGAAGCAAGGGACATTGCTCAATCCATTTGAGCTGGGGTGGTTACTCACGGGTTGGTTATGAACTCTGATTATAGTATTTTCCCAAGCTAATGCCATGTGACTTCTCTCTCTCTTTCATTAAAAGTTCTTTTCTACGCTCAGACTCTGTGCTTGCGAGTGGGGAAGAATTGCCTCTCAGAGGCGCCCAGGGCTGTGTGAATTTCCCAGGCTACTGGGTCGGGGCTCAAGCCAGTTGTGATTATGTGTGAGATGGACGAAAAGGGACCCCTAGATATTGAACCCGGCTTTGGCTGTTGCCGGTACTACCTGGTAGAAGGGTTACATAATGTATTCCCCTTAACAATTTTACTTTCATGCTTTTCTTTTTTATTAATAAACCTTTAGATTTTAGATTCTAACGGATTTGCTCAGTGTGATCTTGTGGATAAGATTCAAAGTGTAAATTGACCAGGGATTTGTAGCTGGTTCTTTGGGACCGGAAAGACCCATTCGGGGTAGGTGGGATTGGGTTCTATAACCCCTCACCTGTACGTTAGGCCTGCGGCTGATTGTGGCACAGGGAGAACTACGGTGCCTGAGGGGTTTTGCTCGGTGTGACCAGTTTGTGACCTGTTTGGGAAGGTCTGTGGTCTGGGGCTGTGAAGAGCCCTTGTTTTGAGGAATTCGCCCTGAGCAGACACCCTCAGTGGTGCCCAGACCCAGCCCAGTCCATCACAACATACCACCAGCTAGCAACTTGCTGGATATTACTTTGGTTAGGTAGTCTGAGCAGTGCGTGGAGGTGGAACCCTCGCTCTCATTATTCACCCACTTCAATCAGGCTTCCTCACCCATATTCCAGGCTCATCC